GGACTAGTTTTATCACCGGACATCTGTGTTTTTTTTATAGCAGGTAATTTGCAGTAGAATTTTCACTTTACAAATTACAGACATGGCGCATTCACACGAAACTAGGATCTCAGGAATCCTCTACGATTATTACAAATCACCAAAGGTCCACAGGTCATAATAATCCCATGTGAACTGGACTAAAACAAATTTTTTGACGCTTTAAGGATTTAAAAATGTTAAAAAGTTAATCTTATGAAAACAGAAAAGAATCTCTACAAAATCCGACCTTCGTGAAAGTTGTGGATGCCCCATCAGTCGAACACGAGCAGTTTGAATTCCCAAAAAATACATTGCTCTTAAGGGAAGAATTCGTTCCAGGTCAAAGCTCCCTGGAGCGGCCACTAGTCGTAATCCTTATCCAGTTTTTATTATAGATCCACGCTGCCCAGAGGCTAGTTTTAATGTCCACTATGTAGGCTAAATGTATATAAAAAGAACTGAGCAGATGCATTTCTAACAAGGTTTTGGCAACACATGAATTTGGTCAATTGCCAAAACCGTATGATTATTTCTATTTCTGTTTTTATTGTATACGGTGGATTAAGTGTCTTGCCCAAGGCCACAACAACAGCATTCGTCTACTTTTTTTAAATTGCCGCACTAGAATAAAGTGTAATTGCACATCCACTGCAGTAGTTGAGTGTGTGCAGGAAGTATTAGCACTAAAGTGTTAAATGAAGTGCAGAAAAAGTATGTAAAGCGTTCACTGTGACTACGGTGGGAAATGAGGAAAGACCGGTGTGTTTACTGTGTCTAAAAATGTTGGCAGCGGGCAGCATGAAGCCAAATAAATAACGATGTCGCTTAAAAATGGTACACCCCAATCACACTGATAAGACGCTTGAGTTTTTTGAGTGAAAACATGTTGAATATTGCAATAATCATCTCACTTTGTGAACGCTGCTTCAGTAAACCAGCGAGTTCTTTTAGCGTCATTTAAGGCAGTGTAACAAATAGCAGAGGAAGATGATACTGCCAAACTATAACACGAACATCACCGTTAAAGATGAGGAGGACACAGGAGCGGACAGTCAGGAGGTGGATCCTGTTTTCTGAAATCCAAAACCTGCAATTTTAGGTGTGCGTCGGGCAAAATACGTGAGCAGTGGAGCCAGGGCCTAAGTACAAGACTCTACCGCCAAAAACACTCTACCAACTGAACTACTGTCACCTTCAGCTTCACTGTGACTACGGCGGGAAATGGGGAAAGAACTGTGCGTTTACTGTGTCTAAACATGTTGGCAGCGGGCAGCATGAAGCCAAATAAATAACGACGTCGCTTAAAGGCATCACACCCCAATCACGCTGATAAGAAGCTTGAGTTTTTTGAGTGAAAACATGCTGAATATCGCCAACAATCATCCCACTTTGTGAACGCTGCTTCAGCAAACCATCAAGCTCTTTTAGCGTCATATAAGGCGGCGTAACAAACAGCAGATGAGCTGATACTGCCGAACTATAACACGAACATCACCGTTAAAGACGAGGAGGACACAGGAGCGGACAGTCATGAGGTGGATCCTGTTTTCTGAAATCCAAAAGTTGCAATTTAACGCGTGTGTAGGGCAAAATACGCGAGCAGTGAAACCAGGGCCTAAGGACAAGACTCTACCTCCAAAAACACTCTACCAACTGAACTACTGTCACCTTCAGGCTTCACTGTGACTACGGTGGGAAACGAGGAAAGAACTGTGTGTTTACTGTGTCCACAAATGTTGGCAGCGGGCAGCGTGAAGCATAAATTATGGCGTCGCTTAAAGGCATCACCCCAATCACGCTGATAAGACGCTTGAGTTTTTTGAGTGAAAACATGCCAAATATCGCAACAATCATCCCTCTTTGTGAACGCTGCATCAGTAAACCATCGAGCTGTGTTAACATCATACAAGGCAGCGTAACAAACAGGTCGTTATGAGGTGGATCGTATTTTCTGAAATCTACGCGCCGCCCTCGTTCACTTTTAAGGCATTCTAAAAATTATGTGTCTGAAAGTTGCAATTTTACACGTGCGTAGGGCTTTGTTACTATTTTTGGTATAAGCGTGCGAGCCAAACCTGCACCAGCAGATCTAAATGTGAATGTGGGTGGATCATTTAAGTTTGTTTTTTATTTCCTACGAGAACGACTCAAATATACATTGAGTAATAATGTGTTTAATGCAGCTTTGAGCACATTTGTTTACGTTTAACATGAAATGAAACTTAAAACCACATGTTTCAATTGCATAAACTATAAGCGCTGAAAAAAACAGCTCGCTCTTTATGCGGTCGACTTCTGTCGGACTCTGCGAGGCTCCTGACTACAGCAGCCGTAAAGCTCCGACAATCCATCCAGCGGTGCGTCTTCGTAGTTTACCAAAGTCGTACGAAAACATTTTGACAGATTTTTGAGTGCCGTGTACCACATAAAATCTGTACGATGTCAATAAACTCAACCAGAATTAATACATAAGGCGCACTGTCGATTTTTGAGAAAATTAAAGGATTTTAAGTGTGTCTTATAGTCCGAAAAATACAGTATAATAAAATCTGAAGGTGAACCCAAGATGACGTCATGATGTTTTCAGTGGCCTGTGCTCATTGGCCCAAAAATTATTTTCACTTCTGCATTTGCTTCCTCAATATGGACGAGCTCCTCCCACCTGTGTGAAGTCTGTAACGTGCGCGGCGTGGAGCGTCTGGACCCAGCGCGGGCTCAGACCAAATTACGGCTCCACCTCTGTGTCACAGTCACACGGGGTAAACGAAGTAGGGTGAAATACGCACGCAGTGGAGCCGGGAGATAAAACGTTTGCTCTCGTACGTCGGCGACTGAAGGCGAGGGTGTGATTTGTCCGTGTTTTGTGGAGCGGGGAAGGGACGCGAAATGTTTTCTTCTCCCTGGGGAGGCATAACGGAAAATAACTGAGAAGCACTGATCTATCGGAAGCTGGAATTGTACCGCCAACCGCTCTGCCAACTAAACTACCGTCGCCCTCGGGACTTTAAGATTCACCTGTGAAACGTCTCGGGTTTTATTGTGCAGTTCTTTATCTTCTTTAACTCCCTCGTGCGGCTCGTGTGTGAGGTAAAAGTGAAGGACGGTTCAAAGCAAAAGTCATTATAAAAACATGAGATCTGCGCCTCAGAGTCGTCGAGCTGTGATTAATGTCATGTAATATAACTGATCCAATTCTAATCGAGGTCCAGATTTATTGTGTGGTCAGTGAATGCATCTCTGGGTTGTTTTAATGGAGCAGAGGGAGGGAGTTTGGACGACGGAATTGGATTTTTTTTGTGTTGGAAGTGATTTAAAGTTCAGGAAATGAATACTGAAAGTTATTCTTATAATAAAACACAATCAAATCAAATCAAATGTTTAAAAATGTGATGAAGAAATTCAGAAGATCCAGAGCAAAAATGCAACACCTGGCCACGCCCACGACACCTTTCCCCGCCTCCTCACCTGCCCTGCACCTTCACCTGTCCCAAGTCCAGACCAGACACCGCCCTCCTCTGGCCCAGCCCCCTCACCTGCCGAGCCCTATCCTCTGCCCCTCACCTGTCCCACACCCTCACCTGCCCTGGCCCGTCACCTGTCCCACCGCTTCACCTACCCCACCCCTCCCCTGTCCCTCTCCATCGTCAAACCCCCTCACCTGCCCCTCCTTCTCACCTGCCGAACCCCCTCTCCTGCCTCTCTCCTGCCCCTCACCTGTCCCACCTCCTCACCTGCTCCACCTGTCCCACCTCCTCACCTGCTCTCACCTCCTCCTCACCTGTCCCACCTCTTCACCTTCCTCACCTTCCCCTCACCTGTCCCACCTCCTCACCTGTCCCTCACCTTCCCCTCACCTGTCCCACCTCCTCACCTGTCCCTCACCTTCCCTCACCTGCCTCACCTGTCTCTCACCTGTCCCACCTCTCACTGCCTCTCACCTGTCCCACCTCTCCTCACCTCCCACCTCCTCACCTGCCTCTCACCTGTCCCACCTCCTCACCTGTCCTCCTCACCTTCCCCTCACCTGTCCCACCTCCTCACCTGCCTCTCACCTGTCTCTCACCTGTCCCACCTGTCCTCACCGCCTCTCACCTGTCCTCACCTGTCACCTCCACCTGCCTCACCTGTCCCACCTCCTCACCTGTCCCATCTCCTCACCTGTCCCACCTCCTCACCTGCCTCTCACCTGCCTCTCACCTGTCCCACCTCTCACCTGCCTCCTCCTCACCTTCCTCACCTGTCCCACCTCCTCACCTGCCTCTCACCTGTCCCTCACCTGTCCCACCTTCTCACCTGCCTCTCACCTGTCCCACCTCCTCACCTGTCCCTCACCTTCCCCTCACCTGTCCCACCTCCTCACCTGTCCCTCACCTTCCCCTCACCTGTCCCACCTCCTCACCTGCCTCTCACCTGTCTCTCACCTGTCCCACCTCCTCACCTGTCCCTCACCTTCCCCTCACCTGTCCCACCTCCTCACCTGTCCTCTCACCTGTCCCACTCACCTGCTCTCACCTGTCTCTCACCTGTCCCACCTTCTCACCTGTCCTCTCACCTGTCCCATCTCTCACCTGTCCCACCTCCTCACCTGCCTCTCACCTGTCCCACCTCCTCACCTTCCCCTCACCTGTCCCACCTCCTCACCTGTCCCTCACCTGTCTCTCACCTGTCCCACCTCCTCACCTGTCCCTCACCTTCCCTCACCTGTCCCACCTCCTCACCTGTCCCTCACCTCCCTCTCACCTGTCCCACCTTCTCACTTGCCTCTCACCTGTCCCACCTCCTCACCTGCCTCTCACCTGTCCCACCTCCTCACCTGCCTCTCACCTGCCTCTCACCTGTCCCCACCGACTGACCCGTCAAACCCCCTCACCTACCACCTGTCCCCCCTCACCTGTCCCGCCCCTCACCTGTCCCCGCCCCCTCACCTGTCCCCGCCCCCTCACCTGTCCCCGCCCCCTCACCTGTCCCCGCCCCCTCACCTGCGGGCAGCTGCAGTCCTCTGTTGACGGTCATCCGGGGCCCCTCGCTGCGCAGGACCTCCATGGTGAAGTGGAGTCGTCCCGTGTGCGTGTGGACTCCGTCTGTGAGCGTGAAGCCCAGCTCGTCGGCGCCCCCGCTGGTCGAGTCGGGCGTGTACACCAGCAGCCGGTCCAGCACGTCCTGGTACGTGAAGGTGGAGCCCTGAGACAGAACTTTACCGCTCTCTAGAGGCTGGGAGTAGAACTGACGCCTGCGCAGTTTCCCTGGAGCAAACGGACAGAACAGAAACAGAAGTGTGTCACAAAGAGCTTCAGTAAAACATGAACCAACGAGGAGCCAACGGCGACTGAAGACGACAAAACGCCACGATGAAGAAAACGGACGATTACGCCAAACACAGTGTCAAAGTTCAGTCAAGATAAACCAGGTCTGAACCAGGATTAAAATAGGACTAAACCAGGTATAAACCAGGATCAAACTAGGACAAAACCAGGGCTAAACCAGGACTAAACCAGGACTAAACCAGGACTAAACCAGGACTAAACCAGGACTAAACCAGGACTAAACCAGGACTAAACCAGGGCTAAACCAGGACTAAACCAGGACTAAACCAGGACTAAACCAGGGCTAAACCAGGAAATAAACCAGGACTAAACCAGGACTAAACCAGGGCTAAACCAGGACTAAACCAGGATGAAAACAGGACTAAACCAGGACTAAATCAGGTCTAAACCAGGTCTAAACCAGGACTGAACCAGGACTAAACCAGGATTAAAACCAGGATCGAAATAGGACTAAACGAGGACTGAACCAGAACTAAACCAGGATTGAAAGTAGGACTAAACCAAAACTAAACCAGGACTGAACCAGGACTAAACTAAACTAGGATCAAAATAGGACTAAACCAGGACTGAACCAGGACTAAACCAGGATCAAAATAGGACTAAACGAGGACTGAACCAGAACTAAACCAGGATTGAAAGTAGGACTAAACCAAAACTAAACCAGGACTAAACCAGGACTAAACCAGGACTAAACCAGGACTAAACCAGGACTAAACCAGGACTAAACCAGGATCAAAATAGGACTAAACGAGGACTGAACCAGAACTAAACCAGGATCGAAAGTAGGACTAAACCTAAACTAAACCAGGACTAAACCAGGACTAAACAAGAACTAAACCAGGATCAAAATAGGACTAAACGAGGACTGAACCAGGACAAAACCAGGATGAAAGTAGGACTAAACCAAAACTAAACCAGGACTAAACCAGGACTAAACCAGGACTAAACCAGGACTAAGACTATGACTAGGAAAAAACCTTTGGCGCCTTAAGGGTTAATCTAAAAGTTTTTCTTTATAATTCTTTTATTTTAATTTTTAAGAACTTTATTAATTGACTTGAAAACATCTTGGTCAAGTGTTGACAGCATGAACAGGCTGCATTAACAACCACACTTTTAGAAGATACAAAGCTACAAATAGATGTTTTTGTTGTATTATTTCTTCTTTAAATCACATTAAGCTAATACCTTCTGCACACACACACAGACACATAAGTTAATTGAGTTCAGAAAGGATCATTTTGGGACATAAAAACCATGAAATTAAAAGTAGAGTTGGCAAAGTTTTGTGATGAAATGGTTTTATTGTGAAGCTTTGTTGTTACCTCCTCGAATAAACAGACCTGAAGTTGTGTTTTGTTTCATTCACACGTGTTTGAGTAACTCTTTATTATTAGTTTACCTACATCTCCAAAGCTCAAAGTGCTCTGTTCCACCTTGTGATGTCACGAAGTGGTAAATTTCCAGTCAACAGCTCCTTTTATCTTTATTTATTTCAGTAGAGTTTGGAATTTCCAGAGCTGAAATGATCCAAATGATTCTAGTGAAGGTGTGTGGAGTTTAAAAACATACTCAGTGTTGGGAGTAACAGATTACATGTACTGGAGTAATGTAATCAGAGTACAAATGATGAGTAACTGTATTCAGTTACAGTTACTGTTTCAGTGAGTGGTAATTGGATTACAGTTACTTTGTTGAAATAAATGGATTAAACAGAAGGATTTTCCTGTTTTCACATTTTGGAATAAACCAGGACTAAACCAGGACTAAACCAGGACTAAACCAGGACTAAACCAGGACTAAACCAGGACTAAACCAGGACTAAACCAGGTCTAAACCAGGACTAAACCAGGACTAAAACTAAACAGGACTAAACCAGGACTTAAACCAGGACTAAACCAGGACTAACCAGGTAAACCAGGACTAAACCAGGTCTAAACCAGGTCTAAACCAGGACTAAACCAGGACTAAACCAGGACTAAACCAGGTCTAAACCAGGACTAAAACCAGGACTAAACCAGGTCTAAACCAGGACCTAAACCAGGACTAAACCAGGTCTAAACCAGGTCTAAACCAGGTCTAAACCAGGTCTAAACCAGGACTAAACCAGGACTAAACCAGGTCTAAACCAGGACTAAACCAGGATAAAACCAGGTCTAAACCAGGACTAAACCAGGACTAAACCAGGACTAAACCAGGTCTAAACCAGGTCTAAACCAGGTCTAAACCAGGACTAAACCAGGTCTAAACCAGGTCTAAACCAGGACTAAACCAGGACTAAAACCAGGTCTAAACCAGGACTTAAACCAGGACTAAACCAGGTCTAAACCAGGACTAAACCAGAATTAAACCAGGTCTAAACCAGGACTAAACCAGGTCTAAACCAGGTCTAAACCAGGACTAAACCAGGACTAAACCAGGTCTAAACCAGGACTAAACCAGGACTAAACCAGGGCCAATTTGAAGAGAACAAATATGAATTTTCAGGATGTGGTCGCTACATTCATGTAGTTTTAAAAAGCAAGACAATATCAAGTAATCCAAAGTAATCAGATTACATTACTCACTATAATTATTTAATAGATTACGTTACAAACTACATTTTGGGATATGTAATCTGTAATCTGTAGGGGATTACATTTTAAAAGTCACCTTCCCAACACTGAACATAGTGGAGCACTTTCTGTATTACCACGTGACATCACAAGGTGGAACAGTGTTTTCAGAGCGTTGAGACTGATTTTCAACTCGGCCTGAATGTGTCGGGTTTGTGCGTTGAACGTGTGAATGAAACAAAAAAAAAAACACAACTCCAGGTCTGTTTGTGACGAGGAAAATAATCAGAAAATAGCGTAATACGAGCCCTTTAAGCTTTTTGCGTTTTATTTGCGGTCGGGTCATTTTAAAATCATAATTCTAGCGTTTGATTGGCAGTGTGTGTGTGTGTGTGTGTGTGTGTGTGTGTGTGTGTGTGTGTGTGTGTGTTTACCGTAGGAGGGCTTGCGTATGATGGTGAAGATGATCTCGTTCTCCGGCGTGTCTCTGTCCTTCACGCTCAGGGAGGAGTTTGTGATGACCACGCCCGAGTTTTCCTCCACGTGGATGCTGCTCACGGACACCACCGGCTCCAGGGCGGCTTTAGTCTGGAGAGAACAGGGCTGGGTATCACTGAGAAGTTGCCGATACGATACATACCTCGATACGCAGGCCACGATACGATACATATCGATACGCATACGATACGATCATATCTCGATACGCAGGCCACGATACGATACATATCTTGATACGCAGGCCACGATACGATGCATATCTCGATACGCAGGCCACGATACGATACTATCTCGATACGCAGGCCACGATACGATACATATCTCGATACGCAGGCCACGATACGATACATATCTCGATACGCAGTCACGATACGATACATATCTCGATACGCAGGCCACGATACGATACATATGATACGCAGGCCACGATACGATACATACGATATCTCGATACGCAGGCCACGATACGATACATATCTCGATACGCAGGCCACGATACGATACATATCTCGATACGCAGGCCACGATACGATACATATCTCGATACGCAGGCCACGATACGATACATATCTCGATACGCAGGCCACGATACGATACATATCTCGATACGCAGGCCACGATACGATACATATCTCGATACGCAGGCCACGATACGATACATATCTCGATACGCAGGCCACAATACATACATCGATACGCAGGCCACGATATACATATCTCGATACGATACCAGGCCACGATACGATACATATCGATACGCAGGCCACGATACGATACATACTCGATACGCAGGCCACGATACGATACATATCTCGATACGCAGGCCACGATACGATACATATCTCGATACGCAGGCCACGATACGATACGATACGCAGCCACGATACGATACATACGATACGATACGCAGGCCACGATACGATACATATCTCGATACGCAGCCACGATACATACGATACGATACGATCGATACATACGCAGGCCACGATACGATACATATCTCGATACGCAGGCCACGATATACATATCTCGATACGCAGGCCACGATACGATACATATCTCGATACGCAGGCCACGATACGATACATATTCGATACGCAGCCACGATACGATATATATCGATACGCAGGTCACGATACATATCTCGATACGCAGGCCACGATACGATACATATCTCGATACGCAGGCCACGATACGATACATATCTCGATACGCAGGCCACGATACGATACATACTCGATACGCAGGCCACGATACGATACATACCTCGATACGCAGGCCACGATACGATACATATCTCGATACGCAGGCCACGAAACGATACATATCTCGATACGCAGGCCACGATACGATACATATCTCGATACGCAGGCCACGATACGATACATATCTCGATACGCAGGCCACGATACGATACATATCTCGATACGCAGGCCACGATACGATACATATCTCGATACGCAGGCCACGATACGATACATATCTCGATACGCAGGCCACGATACGATACATACCTCGATACGCAGGCCACGATACGATACATACCTCGATACGCAGGCCACGATACGATACATATCTCGATACGCAGGCCACGATACGATACATATCTCGATACGCAGGCCACGATACGATACATATCTCGATACGCAGCCACGATACGATACGCACCATATCTCGATACGCAGGCCCACGATACATATCTCGATACGCAGGCCACGATACGATACATATCTCGATACGCAGGCACGATACGATACATATACCTCGATACGCAGGCACGATACGATACATATCTCGATACGCAGGCCACGATACGATACATATCTCGATACGTAGACCACGATACGATACATATCTCGATACGCAGGCCACGATACGATACATATCTCGATACGCAGCCATGATACGATACATATCTACGATACGCAGGCCACGATACGATACATATCTCGATACGCAGGTACCACGATACGATACATATCTCGATACGCAGGCCACGATATGATACATTCCTCGATACGCAGGCCACGATACGATACATATCTCGATACGCAGGCCACGATACGATACATATCTCGATACGCAGCCACGATACGATACATATCTCGATACGCAGGCCACGATACGATACATATCTCGATACGCAGGCCACGATACGATACATATCTCGATACGCAGGCCACGATACGATACATATCTCGATACGCAGACCACGATACGATACATATCTCGATACGCAGGCCACGATACGATACATACATACTCGATACGCAGGCCACGATACGATACATATCTCGATACGCAGGCACGATACGATACATATCTCGATACGTACGATACATATCTCGATACGCAGGCCACGATACGATACATATCTCGATACAGCACGCTTTCGATTCAATACGATATATTTCAAATCGATTCGATACAGTTCAGTCATGTCTGTAATACTGAAAGTCTTTGTTACACCATTTTTTGTGCAAAGTTCATTTGAAACACAAACATTTTATTCATCAAATGTCAAATGTGTCACAAAAAAAAGTTTCCTTCTGATGTAATAAGGAAGGAGGTCGTGTATTTGACAAAAATTGTTTTAGCTGCGTCTAAAAAGGGAATTACAAAAAGTTGGTTACAACCAGATCCACCTGCACAACGAGACTGGATCAGGATTGTGGAAAGAATAACATATAATCTTAAACTGAAAGGTACAAACACGATACGCAATGGGAAAAATGGAATGTATTCATCAATGACACCAGAAAAACAACATAGTACATAAAAATGTCAATACCAAATGCATGTTTAAACAAGAACCTGTAACTCCAGACTGTTGTTACACTGTTTTTGATGGTAACACTTTATAATAACTACACCTTATTTAGCCTTAATAAAGCATGACTAAAGACTTAATTAATAATGAACAAAGACTTAATTAATAATGATTCATGCTTAGTAAATATTTAATAAAGGATAATTACTCTTCACTCCAAAACAGATAACAGCTGCCTGAATTATCATTGCATTACATTATCAGTAAATCATTCTCTCATAGTTTACTAATGATTAATAAATGCTCAAATGGTTAGTTCATGAGTAATTAAGTATGAAATAATGATGAGTAACTATTTACAGCACAGGCAGATTAAGTGCAAGTGCTAATTAAGGTAGTAATTAAGTAGTTATTAAGCGTGAATCATTATTAATTAAGCCTTTGTTCATGCTTTATTAAGGCATAATAAGGTGTAGTTATTATAAAGTCTTACCTTTTTGATTTTATATTGTTTTTGTATGTTTTGAAATGTTACTTAAAACCAATAAAAACAAAGTTATAAAAAAAAAAAAAAAAGTTTCCTTCCGCAAAACAAAACTGTGGCTGTAACAAAATAATTTAGTAAAATACACCAAAAAATACTCCTGGTGATATATCGATACAGCAGCCCACGATATCGATACTGTATCATCACATTAAGCGATACGATATATCGATATTTCAATATTTTTGCACACCACTAGGAGAGAACGACAAAAGCATGAGAACAACGACTAAAACACAAAACGCTCTTCTGGTGTTATTATTATCACAGTTTTGGATTCACATGTTTGTTTGAGTCATGTTTTTGTATATTTTGATAGAGAATTGTGGTGTGGGAGTGTGGGTGATGGGGGACTGTGGGCGGAGCCTCGTACAGAGTCTTACAGTAAACCGTAGGGAGGGTTTGAACGTGCATGGGTGACATTTAGAACTTCTTCAGGCCTTTTTGTGACGAGGGAATAAGGTTATAATATCTCCCTATTACTATTTTGCATAATAAAATATAATATAAACATGAAAAACAAGTTTATCTGAGCCAAAACGCCAGCAGAGGGCGCCAGACTTTAATGAGTAGAAGCTAACAATTGAAGTAAAATTTGCAGCTTAGAGAGAGAAATGAGAAAATAAGAACGAGTCTCAAGATATGAACGCAATTTTGCTCAAAGGTGCACTTCTTGTCTCCATGGAGATGCTATTGCTTTGCCTGCAATATCCCACAGTATGGCATTAAACTCAAGAGACATAAAGGAGATGTCACCAGGCCAAGTTACAGGTCAGATCTGTGGAGAAATAACATCACTCACAGTAAAACCTAAAGTTTAATGCCATATTTTGAGGCTAGTGTCGTAGTACTTGAGACCGATCTTGGTCTCAGGACCGACACAGATATGGTCTTGATCTCATCTCAGACTCGACCGTGTTTGGACTCGGTCTTGTCTTGGACTCAAGGTCTGACACTCGTAAAGGATGATCGTATTTCATTACGGCCGCTGCTGCCGGCAATACACTTTTTACCGCGACATGTGGCTGAAGTTTGCCAAATAAAAGTGCACAAATGCGTCTATATTTGTCACGTGCATTTGGCTTTGTAAATGTGCAGAGGCTAAATATCCCTGTAAAACCAGTAAGAGAATGTAACTCCAGTTAGAAACTTGAAAAAACAGGTTTAAAAATCCTACAAACTTTATTCACTTTTTTCTCAGTTTTCTGTAAAGTCCCAGTGGAAGTTCTCTTAAAGAACAGGTTCTCAAACTGTGGGTGAGGGTCTCGACCTTTAAAAGTCTCAGTCTTGTTTCGGTCTTGACCCTCAGAGGTCTTGGTCTCAACTTTTAAAAGTCTCGGTCTTGTCTCGGTCTCGACCTTCAAAAGTCTCGGTCTTGTCTCGGTCTCGACCCTCAGAGGTCTTGGTCTTGTCTCGGTCTCGACCCTCAGAGGTCTTGGTCTTGTCTCGATCTCGACCTTCAAAAGTCTCGGTCTTGTCTCGGTCTCGACCTTCAAAAGTCTTGGTCTTGTCTCGGTCTCGACCTTTAAAAGTCTCGGTCTTGTCTCGGTCTCGACCTTTAAAAGTCTTGGTCTTGTCTCGGTCTCGACCTTCAAAAGTCTCGGTCTTGTCTCGGTCTCGACCTTTAAAAGTCTTGGTCTTGTCTCGGTCTCGACCTTTAAAAGTCTCGGTCTTGTCTCGGTCTCGACCTTTAAAAGTCTCGGTCTTGGCCCTCAGAGGTCTCGGTTTCAACCTTTAAATGTCTCGGTCTTGTCTTGGTCTCGACCCTCAGAGGTC